GAATCTTCATAATTCCCCAAAGGATTCTTCACCATTGGGCTTCCTCCAATTTGGAATAAAAATACTACATGTTGATGATAAGCAGCCTTAATTTGTTTATCCAATGTTAAGAAGACATAAAGAATAAGATATAACAGTAAAGAAAACAACTCTTTCTATTTTAATCTTTTTCCAATAATAAAACGTGTTCATTTTAGAAAACAGGAGAACATGAACAGGAACAAAGACAAATCATCTATATTCCTAAAACACAAGGAAGATAACTACTATTAACATTTTGTTGTGTGGCCTCTTAAAAAGAAATGTGATGAGTTTCAATTCTTTGTTTTTATTGATTTGCTATATTTGTTACTTTTGTTTTAAAATCTTTAATCAGTGACTGTCTTTAGGGCATCCTATGATACTTTGTGGATTTTTCTCCGTGGGACAGTTAAATCTTGAGGGAAGATGAGAAATGAGGGAAGTTCTGGGTATGAGATTTGTAACCTAAAAAAGTCCAGTACATATTTAAGAAAGAAACCCACTTCTTAAAACCTTCTCTAATTTTCAAAGGAACTTTTAGTATGTTATCAACTTTTTTGGATGGTTTCTATAGAAGGATTTGTGCTTTCTACAAGTAATCAAAGACATGAATTAGATGAATCAGAAAATGCAGTTTCTCCCAGCTTTGAACCTGGTTTGTTAGCAAATGAAATCTAGTTTATGCTGGGTTTTTATTTCTGTTAATTGTTTTATTTCACTATAGTCTTTTTTAACAAGCTTATTTTTATTGTTGAATGTATTACAGATGCCCCCCCCCTTTTCTCCTATTGACCCCCTCCTCCCTGCTCCCACCCCCCTCCTGCCTTCCCTACACTATTGTCTGAGTCCATTGGCCATGCATATATGTATATAATTCTTTGGTTTATCCCCCCTCCCCAACCCCTTTGGTTCCTCAGTCTAACAACCAATTTGTACCTCTTAATCCCTTCACCTTTTTCACCCATTCCCCCAGCCCTCCTCCAATCTGGGAACCATCAGAATGTTCTCTGTATCTATGAGTCTGTTTCTGGTCTGCTTGTTCATTTTGTTTTTAGATTCAACTGTTGATAGACATGTATTTATTGCCATTTTTTTATTCATATTTTTTATCTTTTTCTTCAAGAAGATCCTTTAACATAATAATGATTTGGTGGTAATGAACTCCTTTAGCTTTTTCCTGTCTGGGAAAATCTTTGTATGTCCATTGATTCTCAATGATAGCTTTTCAGGATAGTGTAATCTTGGTTAGAGGTCCTTGCTTTTTGTCTTTTGAATATTTCTTGCCACTCCCTTCTGGACTGCAAAGTTTCTTTTGAGAAATCACTGACATGACAGTCTTATGGAAGCTCCTCTGTAGGTAACTAACTGCTTTTCTCTTACTGCTTTTAGATCTTTTTGTCTTTAACCTTTTGCATTTTGATTATGATGAGTCTTGGTGTGGACCTCTTTGGGTTCATCTTGTTTGGGACTCTCTGTACTTCCTGGACTTTTATGTCTGTTTCCTTCACCAAGTTAGGGAAGTTTTCTGTCATTATTTTTCAAATAGGTTTTCAATTTCTTGCCTTTTCTCTTCTCCTTCTGGCACCTCCATGATGCAAATGTTGGTATGCTTGAAGCTGTCCCAGAGGCTCCTTACACTATCCTCATTTTTTTTCTTTTCTTTTTGCTGTTCTGATTGGGTATTTTTAGCTTCCTTATATTCCAAATTGGCGGTTTGCTTCTGGGCTTGACCTACTCTACTATTGATTTCCTGTAAATTATTCTTTATTTCAGTTAGTGCCTCCTTCATTTCTGACTAGCCCTTTTTTATGCTCTTGAGGCCCTCACTAAGTTCATTGAGCATCCTTGTAACCAGTGTTTTGAATTCTGCATCTGTTAGATTGTTCATCTTCATTTGTTTAGTTCTTTTTCTGGGGTTTTATTCTGTTCTTTCATTTGAGACATGTTTCTTTGTCTCCTCATTTTGGCTGCCTCCTTGTGTTTGTTTTTATGTATTAGGTAGAGTTGCTATGTCTCCTAGGCTTCACAGGGTGTCCTGAGAGTCCACTGGCACAGCTTCCCTGAGCACCCAGCTGAGCCCTCAAGGTGCATCCCTCGTGTGGATTGTCCACCCTCCTGTTGTAATTGAGTCTTGATTGCTGTTGGCACGTCAACGGGAAGGATTTACTCAGGCTGATCAGCTGCAAGGACTGGCTGTGCCTACTGACCTCTGACTGCCTTGGAGGATCAGCTGTGCACAGGCCCACCACACAGAGCAAGACTTACTTCAGCAGGGCTTTGGTACTCACTGAGTTCACTCCTTGAGTGTGTCGCTTGTGGAGGTGGTTGGTGGTGGTGCTTCGACATGATCTGAAGCTACCCACTGGGTGTGCTGGCTCTGGGGCAAGGTCAGCCACTGCCTGTGTTCTACCCGGGGCACCAGGCATAAGCTACAAAGCAATCTACTGATGGCTGCTTCTTGTGCTGGGTTTGGAGGTGCCCAGGCAAAGGCCAAGCTCTGAACCAAGGTTGGTTGCTTCTAGTGCTGGGCTGGAGGGCCACTTAGTGAGCAGTGTGGGGCTCCCTGTGGCCAGATCTTGCTTGTTTGAGAGAATTTAGGAAAATCTGAAGCAGGAGCCATGACAGGCCAATCCTATGGTAAAGCAACTGGAAACAGCTTGAGTGGGACTGAAAGTTGGGTGGGGCAGGGCCTTAGGGAATCACCAGGGGGGCAAACAGTGTGAGCCAGGTTGCTGGAGTCCCAGATATGGTGCCTGTCTGTGGGCCCGTGGGGGAAGGGCTCACCAAAGGAACAGTGGCCTCTGCCAGCAGTCTGTCCAGGACAAAGCTGCCTCTCCAGCCCTTGACCCGATGCCAAACAACTAATTTTTTCCCGTATGTGTCAGCCTTTCAAGCTGCCTCCACCACACTGGGGCCTGGAGGGAGTGAGTCTGAGTAAGTCTGTGCGCGGGCCCTTTAAGAGGAGATCCAGCAGCCTCAGCCTCCCTCAGCCTCAGTTCCTGCTGGTTTTACAGTCAGAAGTTATGGGGACTCTCTTCCTGGCACTGGAGCCCTGAGCTGGGAGCCTGGCGTGGGACAGGGACCCCTCACTACTCAGGGAGGACCTTCCCAGCCAGGTATCGTCCTGATTTTTATCCGCCACACGTGGGTGTGGGGCCAGCCCATCCACCTCCGCCCCTCCTACCAGTCCTGGTGTGGCTTCTTCTTCAATTTCATAGTTGTAGGACTTCCATTCAGTTTGATTTCAGGCGGTTCTGAATGGTGGTGGTTCTGTAGTTTAGCTGTAGCTTGGATGTGGATGTGGGAGGAGGCGAGACCCGCTTGCCTAGCCGCCATCTGACCGGAAGTCCTCTTGACCGGAAGTCCTCGCTGCAGTGTCTGTGGGAGAATTATTTATGCACATCTCAGTAAGGAGTGGTACGTCATAACTGAAAATAAGGGAGAAAAAATTGGATAAGAGAAAATAAGAGTTAGAAAAAGTAAGAGGTAATCAGAGGTCAAAGAAAGTGCACTTGTGTGGTAGCCTTGAAGCAACCAAAGCAAGAAGGCAGGATGCACCAGGAGTCAGTGTTCGTTAGAGGGGAGAGTTCTGCTCAGGAGACACCGAGCTATTTCTGACACTGAGTCCAGAATCGAGCTCTCCCTGAGGAACGGTGCTGGGAGGGAACCACAGCCTCCACAGCCTCCCTGAAGAAAACACAATGACGTGCTGCTTGGAACCTGGCAGGCAGCGGGCTCTCCCGGTGACTCCTGTGTGTCAGGGCGGGCGGGGGCCAGTGTCCGCCCCGGGCACCGCCAGATGGCCCTGGGCGCTGCGGCCGTTCCGTCTTCTCAGGGGCGGGAGGCGCTTCGGGATGGAAAGATTACAGTGAAGCTTTGCTCACCCTCCTGTTTATCTCTGTGCCTGTCTTTGTGGGGCTGTGGAACCTGTGGGCCAGTTTACATAAGGAAGAGTCTGTCTTTGCCATCCTTTTCAGGGGTGATGTTCACCACCGCCTCTGCACATCCTTGCAACTTGGCAGGCTTTTAAAATGCCGCACGATTCTAACCTTTTCCCCACTTATTTCTGTGTTTTCATTAGAGATGTTTCCCACATGTGGTTTTGTTAAATATACTGAGTTTGGGGACTTATAATGTGTTTTCTATATAAATGTCAACCAACAGTCATCTTGCTGAGACATCCTTGCAGTCTGTGGACCAAGAGCTATTTTATTCGAGGATAACCAGGGAGAAGTTTGGTGGGGACCATGTGCCTCTTCTTCTGTTTTAAAAATCTTCATCGAAGGATATGGTTTACTGATTTTAGAGAGAGGAAGAGAGGGAGGGAAAGAGAGAGAGAGAGACATCAATTGGTTGCCCCCCATACGTGCCCCCAACTTAGGTATGTACCCTTACTGGGAATCTAACCAGCAACCTTTCGGTGCACAAGATGAGGCACCAGCCAGGGCTGCCCCTTCTTCTGAAATGAGGCGATGATGGTGCCTGCCTTGGTGTGACTGAATTCTGCATGGAGATTAGGGTATATGGAAGGAGCTCCGGTGTGGTGCCGGGAATAACTGAGTCTTGGTCCTGATCCTCCCTGTAAGTGCTCACAGCTGCTGAGTTGCATCCCAGATGTGGCTGGGAAATAGGGCAAGTCAAGGAGGCTTCCCATTCATTTAGAAATTCTGCTGTAGTATATCACTGAGTATTATTTCCTCCTCCCTCTTTTATCTTTGCCAGTTAGGTAGGTGTAAATTTTTGCTGCTGTTTGTTGTTTTCATTAAAAATTGCTCCCCCTCATCCTATATTATTTTCTACCATCCTTCATAAATTTCTTGTACTCAGGAGCTGTTTTATGCCAGATGAATTAGAACAGGACAGTTTCAGGGTGTAATATAATTCTCCCAGCTTATCATGAGGATCAGCCTTGAGCTGTCTTAATACCTGGACACCTATGAACAGTGACTGCTTCTGTCTTCATGCACCCACGTAAAGGACCGAGCACCATGCCTCTGACTTGCAGCTGGAGGAGATTCTGCTCCATAGGTAACAGACACCATCCACACACTGTTTTAATACAGATATGGCCTGTACCGGGTGTGGGTGAAGGGGGAGGGTCAGAAGAAGAGCAAGTTTTTGAGCAGACTGTTCGCCTGCAGCTAGCCTTCTGAATCCTACGCCTTCTGGATAGGGGTGATAGGTACCATAGCTTAAAATGAAGCAAAACAGCCTAGATGATTATTTAGGGAATTCTTTTTCTTTTTGTAAATGTTAGCCAGATATATTTTAAATGTTGAGAGCCTTGAAATAGCTTTTTGCAATAAAAATATTTGCAGGGGTGGGGAACATCCGGCCCGCAGGCTGTATGAGGCCTGATAAATCATCAACACCAGCTAACATCACATGCCTCACCAAATTAGCCTGACCAAATATAGCAGGCTAATTTTTAAGTTGATAATTTTGTATGGCCCAAGAATGATGTTATAAATATCCAAATGGCCCTTGGCAGAAAAAAGGTTTCCCACCCCTGAACAAACCTTAAAATGAATTAGATTGTATTTAGATAGCAAGGAACCCAGAAGTTACATGTGAAAATGGTCTGATAATAACCTGTAGTCTTAGAATAGGTTATTTACCTCAGTGGGCACCAAAATGAAGGCCAGGAGCTCAAAATGATAAGCTCCTGATTGGGGATTATGCTAGTCACATTATTTTAAAATTATTTTTCTTCCCCCCAAACTTGTTTTCAGACTATTTCCTTTGGTTTAACTAGCCCGCTGAATTATGTCAGGTGTTTAATTTGCTCTTGCAACTTAGAACAGTGGCTGTGAAGGAATAAAAACCCAAAGAACATCAATTCTGCATTTCTGGCAACTCCTTTTAATTGGCAAAAGTGACAACTATGAAAACTGTAGTTCAGGGAAGGGTCTAGAGCATTGTTTGTCAAGATCTATTGCTTTTTGTCCAACCTTACCACTGGAACAGGGACTTGAGCACAGAATTGACAGTGATTGACACCAAGGCCACGTCATGAGGACGTGAGCTGGGAGTTCTCCTCCTTAACCTGTCTAGTCTTCTTGTGGCCTGTTGGCCTATCCACTCCCTCATCTTTGCAACCTCGCTACAACTTGGGACTTAGGTTTTTGCAGCCCCCATACACATTATAACTCCTTCAGACATATTATATAAGTGTTATCGACCAAGAAAACGGCCTCAGTAAACAAATGCCGAACACTAAAATGTCCTGCTTTGTATGTATACTTTTCCCCTAAGAATTAGACTAGGTTTTTTTTCCCACCACAGTTTTATTTCATCCGTTCAACTGTGAGCTAGATTGATATTTTTCTTGTACTACTATGTATAACAAATGAAACCTACTAAGATTTAGAGTTTTAAGCTATGAAGATCATGATTAATCTTAACCTCAGATGGAATTTTATAACATTAAAAGTCTCCTGAGCAGAAATACTGCCATTTCCTTGAGATATATTGAAGGGCAAACATGAACTTTATCGGATCTTTGCTTCCTTGAGGGTGTTTCCTTTTTACAAAAGAAAGAAGGATTAGTAAGTTAATTTCAGGAATTTGGGAGGAGAGATGGCTGCTGTGCCCCTTGAACAATGTGGGGTTAGGGCCACCGACCCCTGTGCAGTTGAAAATCACCGATAGCCCCAGTTGACCTCCAGATTCCTAACTGCAGATCAAAACCTGCATATAAGTTGATCTGCTCAGTTCAAACCCATGTTGTTCAAGGGTCAGCTGTAATGTGATGAGTCATACTTTACAGTGAGCACATGAAAATGCAATTAAAAAGTCAAAACTAGCTTGGCCAGTGTGGCTCAGTGGATCGAGCTTTGTCCCATGGACTGAGAGGTCCTGGTTGGATTCCCAGTCACGGCACATGCCCTGGTGGTGGGCTCGTTCCCCAGTAGGGGGCGTGCAGGAGGCAGCTGATGGAGGTATCTCTCTCACATCGATGTTTCTATCTCTCTCTCCCTTCCTTTCTCTATAAAAATAAATCAATAAAAACATATTTAAAAAATGAAAACTATTTTATACCCTTTAAGATGGCAACCATACAATTAAGAAAACAAAAACAAAAGTGTTGGCAAGGAGGTGGAGAAATTGGAACCCTTGTGCACTGTTGGTGAAATTGTTAAATGGTGCCGCTGCTATCAAAAACAGTATGGTGCTTCCTCCAAGTACTAAATATAAAATTATCATATGCTCTAGCAATTCCTCTTATGGGTATATACCCCAAAGAATTTATATACACGTTCACCATAGCCGAAACATGGAAGCAACCGAAGTGTCCACCAATGGATGAACAAATGCGATATATACATACAGTGGAATCTTTATTATTGAGCCTCAAAAAGGAAGGAAGTTCTGACACATGCTCCAACATGGATGAACCTTCAGGACACTATGCGAAGTGAAATAACCTGGATTCAAAAGGACAAATACTGTGTGATTCCACTTATATGTGGTACCCAGAGTAAATTCATAGAGACAGAAAGTAGAATGGTAGTTGCTAGGGACTGGGAGGAGGGAATTAAATACTTTAATGTGGACAGTTCCAGTTTTGCAAGATGAAAAGCATTCTGGAGCTTGGTTGTACAACAGTGTACAACTACTGACTGGACACTTAAAATGGTGAAGATAAATATTGTATGTGTTTTACCAAAATTTAAAAAATAATGGAGTTTATTGTATGTGCCTGCCCCTCAGGATTCCATTTAAACAGTAGATAATGCAGAGGTTGCAATTCAGTCCCTCCACCCAATCCCCTATTCTCATTTCCTGTTTACATTGTTTGGTATCTCACCTTTCTCCTTATAAAGTATTGTATTACTTATTTGTTCATTTTCTTTATTGTCTCCTTCCCCCCCTAGAGCATAAGCTCCATGAGGGCAGAGACTTCTGTCTGCTTGTTCATTGCTGTGGCTCTAGTGTCTAGAAGGGGGCCTGGCACACCTACTACGTGATCGGCAATGATCTATTAAGTGATAAGATATTGTAAGCAAAATAAAGTCACTTATATGACATGCCTTCAGAATAGTTTATTTTTAAAATATCTTTTATTTTTGAGATTTAACGTATAAAATAAAGCATAAAACTGAAGAGTACATAGCTCAATGAGCTTTTCTATATCTATATGCCTGTGACCAACAGCCAAATACAAACATGGACTATTTTCATTACCCTGGAAGATCCTTCCTACCTCTCCCCAGGCGGTCCCCTCCCCGCCGAGTGCACTCGGTTCTGATTTCCATTACCCATAAGCATTTGTCTTTGAACATCACACAAGTGGAATTTTACAGGATGTACCTTTTTTTGTCTGAGATTCAGCTGTGTGACTGTCCCATTGTATGATAGTCATTTGTTTATCTACTCTGTTACTGATAGAAGGCTGGTTTTTTTTTGTCTACTATTATGAGTAAAATTATTCTACATATATCTTTGTGAACTAATTCTTATCTTGGATAAAAGTATTTAGGAGTAGAATTAACTCAATCTTAGGTTAGATGTGTATATTTCTTATCTTTTAGATTGTCAAATTGTTTTTTAAAGTGGTTGAAATAATTTACATTTTCCACCAGCAATTGTATTACATTCTGGTGAACATGAGGAGTGTCTTTCTCTTTTTGAAGCCACACTTGTGCGTGTAGTGGTACCCCCTTGTGGTTTTAATTTGCATTACTCTAATGCAGTGATTTTCACCCTTTTCCATGTCATGGCACATAAACTAATCACTAAAAGTCTGGTACAACAAAAGATACAGTTTTTTGCTGATCTGACCAAAAATAGGTATAATTTAGATTCATTCACAATGGATGGATATTGTTGTGTTGGCTGTTTTCATTTTTTTTTTTTTTTTTTTTTTTAATTTGACAACGTAAGGGGAAAGAGGTTGGTGCCCTTGACTAAATAGTCAAGTTTTGCATGTTTTAAAAATTCTTGCAGCACACCAGTTGAAAATCGCTGCTCTAATGAGTTGAGTTTCTTTTCATGTGCTTATTGGTGATTTGGGTATCCTCTTGTGAAATACTTGTTTAAGTCCTTTGCTCATTTTGTTATAACATTTTGTAATTGTTTTGTATTAATTCTTTATTTTGGATGCAAATTCTTTGTCAGATACATTTATTACAAGTATCTTTTTCCAGTCTTAGATTTGCCTGTTCCTTTTCCTAATATCTTTTAATAAATGGAAGGTCTTAATTATAATGAAGTCAAATTGATCAAATTTATTTTAAAAGCTGTTATTTTTTTGAATTCTGTTTAAGAAAACTTTTCCTATCTTGGCTGATTTTAAAGCAGTTAATGCAGTTAGTACAATAAAGTAAACTCAAATTAGACACTCTTATTTGAAACTGAAAAAATTTAGGTTTAAACAACTGCAAAATTCAAACAACCTTTTTTTTTTTTTTTTTTTTTAATCCTCACCATAGGACATTTTTCCATTTTTTGTTCAGATAGAGTGGGAGGGAGAGAGAGAGAGAGAAACATCGACGTGAAAGGGACACATCGAGTGGTTGCCACCCGCACGACCCAACCAGGGCCGGGGACAAACTGCAACCAAGTTACATGCCCTTAGCGGGAACTGAACCTGGGTCTCTCCGGACCGCAGGCTAACGCTCTAACCGCTGAGCCAAACCGGCCAGGGCCAAACAACCTTTTTTTTTATTATTATTAAAGGATAAGACACAGAGCTCCCTTTTGACAGCCTGTTAAATACACAAATTTTTAAAATTAAACTTTGTTTTGCTCAGTGTTTAGAAAGAATATGGTCAATTGGCCAGAGTAAGAGGATGATGATTTGAGAATGAATTGATTGTTTAACTTGGACTTAGAACCCTTGCCCGATCTCTCCTTAACACACTGTTGGGCTTATAACTTCCCCTATTTGCCCATCAGCTTTCCTTTGTGAGCTTCTGATATAAGCTCTTATTAAATGGTTTTCCTAATGTGATAACCCAGCAGCTGAAGGAAGCAGCAGCTGTGGTCTCACATGTCAGAGCACATCACAATCTCTGAATGTAGCA